CAAAGTTTCAGAATGAAGCAGTGAATTAAATCTCAAAGAATGAATGGGTTAGTGAGGCAGTGCATTAGAGAATAACGTAAAGCCATTTAATATGGCTGGGAGTGGCTTTGTGTCTCTCATACCTCCTGCATAGCTCTGAGAAGAAGATGGGATTTGTCCCACAGGAGTAGAACAGCCTTCCCAGATTGAACATTTCCTCATTCAATCCTCCTTCCATTCCTATCTCTCCATCCTCCTAGAGTCCTACAACCCTGAAATGTGTCTGCAGTCCTTTAATTCTGACCTCTTGATCATCCCTGATTCTAATTTCTCCACCACTGGACATCTTTCAGGGTTGTGGGACAATAGGAGGATGGAGAGATAGGAATGTGAAGAATAGAGGGAAGATCGAATGAGGAGATATTAAATCTTGGAAGGCTAATTCCCTCCCGGGGGACAAATCCCATCTTCTGCTTCTGAGAGCTATGCGGGAGTTAAGAGACACACAAAGCCATTTCCAGCCACATTAAATGGCTGTACGTTAATCTCTAATGCATTGCCTCACTAACCCATCCATTCTTTGGGATTTAAGTCACAGATTCACTCTGAAACTTTGCCCATTAACCTTTATCGCATCAAAGTATAAATCCCCAGGATGCTGTTCCATTATCTTCCTGGGTCCTAAGCTATGTCATGTTCCAATTTCCAATGAAGAAACTTAGAAACAGGATACAAGCCAGGTCAAGGCTTTACTCCATCTACCAGAAGACATTGTCAGATGTACATTTGTGGTCCATCACAAGGAAGCCTTCATGGGAAAGGGTGGAGTTGGTGAAAGCTTCACATTAAAAGATAACAGGGATTCCTAGCCTTTGCTGTGATTGATGTTGCTAAAGAATGAAATTAATGGATCTGCATGACATGGAGATTTGACATTATAATTGTACCATTTAAAGACAGAGAAGATGGCACTCTGATACAGGCCTGAGTGTGACCGTAGGGTAGTACCTTGCTACACACAGAATTGGCACTTTAGCAGTTTAGAAATGGAATGCAAGGGGATAATGTGCACAAACCTTTATCCACAGCATTGCTTCAGAGTGCCAGCTATCTACGTCACAATGTAATTGACATCCTGTTGCTTTGTTTCACTATGTACCAGAAAAGGAAGATTAAAGCCTCCAAGAGTAATAAAGAAATCTGTATGATATGGAAATGGATACACACCTGTTGGTTTTGGAGCCGTATTTCCAGCTGCGGACTTGTCATCCTTTGGAAGTGGATGGAAGAAAGTGTAGACCAGATCACACTTGGGAGAAAAAAAGACAATGATTATTTCCATTCAAGTCGTATGTAATCACTGGGTCCAACGGTAGCTTTCCTGACCTGTCCAGGCTGAAACAATGTAGGGAAAATTAGGGCTGCATGGGGAATTGATAACTGGGTTCAGAATCTGCCTTTCACCTCCCATCACAATATCTGTCTATTAAAACACTCTCATCTTCAACTGCTCCCAAACATATCTAACTTTGTCTGCTTTAACAATCCCAGTGCTCCGAGGAGGTGATTTCCTCTACTTTCATATGTGAACGTTTTCCTGAATGGCCAGGTTTTAACGTTAAGATGACATTTTAGCAGCAACTTCCTGCGATGGGAACATGTGACAGTGCTGCATTCTAATTAGCTGATAACCCACAGGTCATAGTGACATTGTTTCACACTGTGCTGGACAATGGAATGTATTTATTGTGATATCTGAACAATCATCCATTACCATGCAAATTGTACTTGGATTGAGAGACTAGGAATGGAATAATTTGACTGAAGCCACTGGCAAAAATACAGATGTAATGTGACAAGTCTTCATTTCCCTTTATTTGTGTAAGGCTTTAGATAAATGTTGCAGCTCTTTTCAGAAATACATCTGCTACCCATCTCGGGTTTTAGGAGTTTGATCTTGATAAATGAAAAATCTAACATGGTGATCTCTTTGCTGAAGTAGAAACACATAAGGCTGCAGATTTAGTTTCACAATAAAACAGAATTTTATTCTGCAAAACAACAAAAAAAATGGAATAAAACAAAGCTATTGGCACATAACAGTTTAAAAGTATTCAAACATCTGACAAAACAACTTACAGTTAATCAAAATCCAGAGAAAATTTCCTTCCCAATCTGAAGATCTGACTTGACTGCTTTTTTTACCTCACCTCAGTTCATGTCTTGTGAATTGAAAAACATTTTCCTTTGACTCTCACAACTGAGTTCCCTACAGAAATAAACCTATTCTCTCAACTGCGCTGTACAAACCACCTCCACGTCATTTTAAGAGATGCTAAACAAATTTTTTGTGTCAGTATTTACTATGGAGAAGGACATGGAAGCTAGGGAACTTGGGGAAATAAATAGTGATGTCTTGAAAAGAGTTTATATTACAGAAGAGATGGTGCTGGAGATCTAAAAACACATAGAAGTAGATAAATCCCCGGGACCTGATCAGGTATTGCCCAGAACCCTGTGGGAAGCTAGGGAAGAAATTGCTGGGCCCCTTGCTGAGATATTTGTATCAAAGATAGCCACGGGTGAGGTGCTGGAAAACTGGAGCTTAGCTAATGTGGTGCAATTATTTAAGAAAGGATGTGAAGAAAAACTGGGGAACTACTTACCTGTGAGACTGATACCAGTGTTGGGTAAGTTGTTGAAGGGGATTCTGATAGACAGGCTTTACATGCATTTGGATAGGCAAGGGCTGATTAGGGACAATCAACACGGCTTTGTATGTGTGAAATTGTGTCTCACTAACTTGAATGAGCTTATTAAAGACGTGACAAAGAAGACTGATGAAGGCAGAGCAGTAGACATGGTCTATGTGGACTTCAGCAAAGCTTTTCACAATGTCCCACATGGTAGACTGGTTAGTAAGATTAGATCACATGGAATCTAGGGGGAGCTAGCAAATTGGTTGCAAAATTGGTTTTAGGAGACAGAGGATGGCAGAGGAGGGTTGCTGTTCAGACTGGAGGGCTGTGACCAGCAGTGGATCACAAGAATTGGGTGCTGGGACCACTTTTTGTCATTTACATAAATGATTTGGACATGAATAGAAAGGGCATGGTTAGTAAGTTTGCAAATGACACCAAAAAAAGTTGTGTAGTGGACAGTGAAGAAGGTTATCACATAGTACAATGGGACCTTGATCAGGTAGTCCATTGGGCTGAGGAGTGGAAGATGGAGTTTAATTTTGATAACAATGAGGTGTTACATTTTGGTAAGGCAAACCAGGGTAGTACTTAAAGAGAGAGACCTAGGCGTGCAAGTGCATAGTTCCTTGAAAGTAGACATAGTGGTGAAGGTAGCGTTTGGCACACTCGCCTTCATTGGTCAGAACACAGAGTATAGGAGTTGGAATGTCATGTTCCGGCTGTATAGGACATTGGTGAGGCCACTTTTAGAATACTGTGTACAATTCTGGTCACCCTTCTATAGGGAGGATGTTAAAATTGAGACGGTGCAGAAAAGATTTACAAGGATGTTGCTGGGACTGGAGTATTTGAGTTACAGGAAAAGGCTGAATAGGCTGGAGCTTTTTACCCCTTGAGCGTCAGAGGCTGAGAGGTGACCTTATAGAGGTTTATAAAATCATGAGGGGCATGGATAGGGTGAACAGTCAAGGTCTTTTTCCTACGTGGGGGAGTCCAATACTAGAGGGCATAGGTTTAAGGTGAGAGAGGAAAGATTTAGAAAAGGGACCTGAGGGATAACTTTTTCATGCAGAGGGTGGTGCATATATGGAACAAGCTGCCAGAGGAAGTAGTAGAGGCTGGTCCAATTACAACATTTAAAAGGCATCTAGATGGGTACATGAATAGGATGGGTAAAGAGGGATATGGGCCAAATGCTAGCAAATGGTACTAGATCAGATTTGGCTGTCTGGTCGTTTTCTGTGCTGTATCAACTCTATGACTTCAGTCAGGTCTCTTTCTAAACCAAAACCAGAAACCTTTAACACATTTATTTTTAAAAACTTGCTCATTCTGATTCCACTAAGCTAATGGATATTTCTTCTTCTTCTTCTCTTGTAAAACCCATGATATAAACACACTTCCATTAACTCTCCAGGAGACCTCCAACCCTCTGGCTCTGACAAATACTGGTTTGAAATCATGGCTTTGAAAAGACTGACCTGGTTAATTATTAAACCTTTCTTTTCCACAAAAAATAGACTAATACCCATATGCCACTAGTCTGAAATCTTAAGTAAAAAAAAGTTAATAAATATAAATTACACACTTTTTACCACCATACAGAGTTTCAAAATTATGTTAGGACTAGACATAGTGGGTAGGGAGAATCTGTTTCCACGAGTGGAAGAGTTAGCAAGGTGAGGACAAAACTATGGTAATTGGCAAAAGCATTTATCTTAGGGGAGGGGAGTCAGATGACAAAAATTGGCTTTATGGCGCAGGTTGGAAAGCACTGCCCAAAACAGTGGCTGGATATTCAATTATGGTCTTCAACATAGAACGTACATAAGTGAAAGTGAAAATATGTAGGGCTGAGGGGAATGTGTTGGGGTGTGGAACTAAATGAATAACTGATACAGAGCCGAGACAGGCGGAGTGTACTTCTCCCATGCCCTATCGTTTTGATTCTGTTATGAGAAAAGGTGGTCGGGGAGATAGTTGTGGTGAGCAGTCGTAGGATCTGGTGAGAATATGTGGTTACCCAGGAGTTACATTAGGTTTTAATCTAACATTTCCAAGGGTACTTATTCCGTTAAGTCCATTGAATCCAGCCTATGTCACCAAATCTAACTCACAGCTAGAGAAATTCATGGAGGATACTGGAGAACAGAGGGATTGTCCATTGGAAGCTGAAGCTTTCTGGGCAATACTCTGGTGTTTCTGTATGTTGGGACTTCCACAGCATTTCAACATCGAAAAGTTTGGCCCAGTGTCTCTATGGCAGTGTTGCCACTATGTTTAGTTAGCGTACTTACTGGAAATCTAACAGTGTTATTTGAGTAAGTATAAATTGTAGATATTAAGAGCGAGCTGTCCTTTTAAAGTTATTGTTTGTGTACGGTGTGTATAGTAGTCTGAATAAGCCACATCCTTCAAATTAATCTTGGGCTATGGGCAGCTTATATCATTAAACGCAATTTGACATCAAAAAATGCCTTAGTTTTTATGCCTCTGACACCCTGAATGATGCCGTAAATTTGACTGAAAAATAACACACATATTTGAGTAGATTCCCTGTGGCACTGCTTACAATAAACTGAATGCTGTACAGTTTTGTAAGGTCAGCATTGCTAAAGCATGGATTGAACTATGTCTAATTCTGCTAAAGTGGAACTGTTCCAATGGCTAGGTGTCATTAAGTAAACAGAAGCTTGGGTCAGCCAGAATGCTAGTGTTTCCAGAGTTAAGCGAACTTTGTGTTTTGGAAAATTGTTAGTTTCAGGCTATAATTGAGCAGTACTCAATATTCTTAGAATGTTTTAATTTATGTATTTATAATTTGGTCATGGGATATGAGTGCCACTCACTAGGTCAGCACTTATTGCCCATCCCAGATTATATTGCAGAAGTTGCTGGTGAGCTGCCTTCTTGAACTGCTGCAGTCCACATGGTGAAGGATCACCAAGGGTGCTGTTAGGGAGGAAGCTTGAGGATTTTGATCCAGCAAAAGTAAATAAACAGTGACATAATTCCAACTCAGGATGGTGAGTGGCTTGAGTGGGAACTTGCAGAGTTTGGCATTCTCATGGATCTGTTGACCTTGTTTTTCTGGGCGGTAGAGGTAATGGTTTGGAAAGTGATGTTGCAGAAACTTTTGTGAGTTACTGCCGTGTATTGTGTAGATAGTATACACTGCTGCCACTGTATTGTGTAGATAGTATGCTGCTGCCTGGGATGTTGCAAACCATTTCTAATATCATATCTAATGTAAAAAGTAAAAACAAATCTACAATTATGTATATTTTACAGACCTGGCACCATTTCTCTCTTGCCTCTAGATGGCATACTGACAGTATTTCCCTTTAAGGTGAGCAGCTACTCACTCTCAGGTGCAGTTCTACCACAAGATGGAGTTATCAAAGGCTCCAGTTCCACCGAATGAGGCACATACAACCTCCGGCACCTTTGCCACAGCTAGAAACAACAAATACTCTCCTGTCACACGTCCCTGTCTTTTTAACCACACCCTCAGTGGGCCTTCACGGCATGACAAAGAGCAAAGAATGACACAGCACAGGAACAGGCCTCTGGCCCTCCATGCCTGCAATGACACATTTTGCCCTTCTGTACTAAAACTGTCTTCACTTACAGGATCCCTCTATTCCCTTCCTGTTCATGTATGCGTCCAGGTGCTTCTTGACTGCTGCTATTGTGTCTGCTTCCACCACCTCCTCTGGCAACGCATTCCAGGCACTCACCACCCTTAGTGTGAAAAACTTGCCTCGCACATCTCTTTTATGATTGGATGTCTTTCAGTTTTCATTATTTTACTTCTTTGTACTTTCCTCAAAATTATTCTTCCTTCCCATAAGAAAATCTTGCATTTTTTTTCTCTCTATACACTTTAAAAATTAATTGACACTCTCCATGTCATCCAGATAGAATACAGTTCCGTCAGTGAGATCATTTTCTGCAAGTGATTTTAAACATAGGCCCTGTCTACCCCCTCAGCTGGGTGCTAAAGATCCTACAACACTTTTCTGAACGGGGTGGGGGGGGGGTGGGGGTTGGGGAAGTGGGGTTCTCTCTCATGCCTTGGCCAATATTTATCGTGGAACCAATCATTAAAATAGATTATCTGGCTATTAGCAGACTCCTGTTTGTGGGAGCTTGCTGTGCCCAAACTGACTGTTGCAATTCCTGTGATTACACTTCAGTCATACTTTGGCTGTAACTGGCTTTGGAATGTGCTGATGTTACAAAAGGCTCAAGATAAACAAGTCTTTCTTTGGTCATCCCATCTCTCAGAATCCAGTATCAGGTATCTGTACATTAGGTATTATATCAAGTATTGCTGAATAAAAAGACACATTTTTTGTCAATGCTTTTCATCTTGCGATCAAAAATATCAATGTAGATCAGCACTTTCTTCTCATACATCATAAAATGTTGCTCCCCTTTATGTTGGAACTCTTGTGAACATCTTGATGAGTGCAAGTTCTGCCAAAATGTGTCTCTTATACATTGTCCAATTGTCCAATAAGTATTCTACATTGAATCATTTTTCAGTTTCTTTCTTCTAATGAAGATGTTTTCTAGTGTTTTCCCCATCCCACCACTCTTTCATTGTGGGGAGAAACTGAGTGTAACCTGAAGCAAAAAGTCAAGATCTATCATTTTATAAATGCAAACATTGAAACATGTTGACTGTGGTGACACAGCAATAAGAGACGAATAAGCTGAGTCAGAAGACTTCTGAGAAGTGAAACGGCATGTGTTATCTGACAGTGCTGTGGGGATGACATTGCAGAAACTACATCACTAAATTTCTGTGTAGCAAATTCGATAAGTGAATAACAAGTATTCACAAAGCCTGAAAGCAATATGAAATCTTAAACAACTAATGCCTCTCCTTGAGTTCTTTCATTTAGAATTCTGATAGAAGGGCATTTTTTTTAACCATTTAGCAAGCTATTCCTTGATTTTACCTAAATAATTTTACTAGCTCATCACTGTGTTGACTGATAAACTCCCATTGTTTAATAAGTCCACGAATAATCTTTCCTTAAAATGAACCATTATCAAATTATGCAGTGTTATTATTTAAAAATCCTCTTCCTAACCTTTGCATACACTTCGTTTTTCCTCCTTGCTTTCCACAGTTATATCACTTGCATCCATGTATTCAGCAATGTAACCCATTTCTTTGATTTTTCAGCCTTTCTCTGATGATCTAAAACTTGAATTCTCTCTCCCACACACAGAATCATAGAATCTCCACAGTGTGGAAAGAGGCCATTCGGCCGATCGAGTCCACACTTACCTTCCAAACAGCATCCCGCCCAGCCTCATACCCCTATCCTACTCTGTAACCCTACATTTCCCATGGCTAACCCACATAACCTGCACATTCCTGTACACTGTGGGCAATTTAGCATGGCCAATCCATCTAACCTGCACATTTTTGCATTGTGGGAGGAAACTGGGGCACCCAGAGGAAATCCACAGGAGAACGTGCAAACTCCAAACAGACAGTCGCCCGAGGGAGCAGTGCTCACCACTAAACCACCATGCCGCCCTCAAAATTATTTCCAATCTCTTATCGTATTTCCAACTTCCCAAACACTCTCAAACTGATCTCATAAACCTCCTTGAACCTGCTCATTAGCTCCCTATTCCTTCTTTATCTTCCTGCTTGTCGCCTCCCCATCCAGGTTGATGCTCTACCTTCCCTATGCAGCCTCCTTGAACCTTCCGTATCTCAGTTGACCCTTGACCCTAATGACTGTGTCCCTCAATCCATTGTCCACCACCTTCACTCTCCCTCATATCAGATATCAACGTGTGCACATAAATATTTACAGCCACAAACACAAATTAATATCGACTTGTTTGTTTCTGCTATTTGCTGATTGGAAAGGACAATCTCACCTCAGCCACTTCAGGAGGAGAGTGGATTAAGTGCCAGATATAACCATCCAGCTCCTCTTTGCGTCTGTCAGCCATCGCCTCTCCTCGGCCAAGCACAAACCTGCTTGGGAAGCTAGAGGCAGAATCAAATTTGGTGAGTTAATGTCTTGGTTTCACAAAGGTAAAGAGAATTTCAGAAAATTTCTTAAACCTTCATAAGAAATGCTCGAGGCATGCTAATTCAAAAATTTCATTTGTTTAAGAAACAAAAAGACTTGTTTATTTTTCCAGGTGCTGTATATTCCTAGTATTTTCTATCGATTCAAAGATTATTTAGTCCTGGATTTGAGGAGATAACAGTTGCTGCACTTCAAAAAACTGCATTTTCAGGAACATTTTGAGACTTCAATGGTGTGTGACATAACTAGCGATGTTGTCAGATCTTTAATTTCTGAGCATGCATATAACAATATATTTTTATCCAAATTAAATGTCAGCTTTAATATTTAATTTCTACCTTTTCCGTTTCTCAGCGAATGATTTAGAACAGACAAGTGTCCACAGTGAACGGCAGACATTTTTTCACAACACCCCTAAGAATCCTTCTAATGTCCTACCTTGGCAATTTGGATGAAGGGAAAAGTAGCCGGAGTTTATTGTGTAGTTCATTAAATTCTTCAAAGGTCCTCAGTATGAATGCAGCATCATGCTGTCCCTCCCGCTCAACTTTCACAACATAGGCCTGTGGATTATGGAATATGAACACAGTTACAAGCTTTTCCTCCAACACTTCAAAACCTGTGTTTGTGACAATAACAGTAGAATCCAAAAGGTGACTCAGCTCTCCATTTAATCAATGGTAGCATCCTATTAAAAAAGGTCTCTAGACCTGAAAGGTTAACTCTGATTTCTCTTCACAGATGCTGAGATTTTCCAGCAATTTCTGTTTTTGTTGTCACATTCTTATGCATGTGCTGAATTGACAGGACAAACAATTAGCTTTTAGTCATCGCAAAAATGCATCAAGAGAACATGTGAAATATTCGCAACCTCTCCTGGCTGCACAATTTCAAAGTTTGAAAATAGAGAGTTATTTGCAAGTGAAGAAAAGTTCTCAAGAGCAACAAAGGACAGATGGTACAAATACTCATTTTTGTTTGGCAAAGTAAATCAATCCACAGGGGAGCCAAGAAATATCTTTACAGTTTGCTTTACAAATTTCTGGTTTTCAGAGTCAGTCGTATACTTTCCAATGGAAAGCTACTACATGCGAGAGTTAATTCCTAGATGGGTGCCAAGTCTAAATTCCAAGTCCGGAGGTTAAAATATAGTTGAAAACTGAGCAAGTGGTAGTAGCAACAAAAGAGTAATTGTGCTAACTGAAGCCTTTCCTGTCACAGGTATTAATTTTGATATTTTAAGTAGATTTTAAGATATTCAGAATGGGTTCAAACATACCATTTTACAAATTTTCCCATTTCCCACTTTCAACGGGTTTGCAAAGATTAACACTTCATAGATTGATACAGCCTTCATAACAAGCTAGATCTAAACAGTTTTGAATGCTGACAATCTCACAAACAAAAGAAAACTGTTGTCTCTGATTGAGATTGTAGACAGAAGAAGGTGGTTGTGTGTTTTGATCAAACACATTATGAGCAAGTAAAGACATAACGGACAATGTATTGGGATAGTACAATCTACTGCAGGTGGTAGATTTTGATTTGTGGTGTTCCCAGGAAAACATATTTAAGGCATTTCATATTATTTCTAAATTAAGCAAAAGGAGGGAATGGAGTATAAATGTAAGGAAATCTTGCTATACGGTACAGTACATTGATGAGACCTCACCTAAAGTATAGTGTGGAGTTTTGGTTACCTTCTAAAGGAGGATGAAGTTCACAGAAGGTTCACTAAACTGAAAACTGAGATAAAGGGGCTTATCCTATGAGAAAAAGACGAATAGGTTGGACTTTTATCCACTGCAATTTAGAAGAATGAAAGATGATCATTTTATGACATAGATATTCTCAGGGGATTTGACAGGGTGAATGCAGAGGATGCTCCCCACCAGGTGAGGAAATCTGGAACAGAAGTTACAGTTTCAAAATAAGGGATCTCCTGACTTAACCTTCTCTTAGAAGGTTGTTAGTGTTTCAAATTCTCTCCCTTAGCAAGTGATGGAGGCTGGGTTATTAAATATATTCAAGACCAAGTTAGACAAGGGGGTCAAGGGCTCTGTGCATGAAATTGCAAGTTTGGTCTATATCAGGTCAGGCACAAACTTGTTTGGTGAAACATGTTTGAAGGGCTGAATGGCCTACGGCTGCTTCTGTTTCAGACGTTTAATGGTTAAGAAATAGTCAAATAACCAAATCTGTTGATAACACCAAGTTAGGTGTTACAATAACTAATGTAAATGGGAGCAAAAGTTTCAAAAGAAATGTGAGTGGACACATCATGGCAGATGGAATTCAACCAGAAGTCATTTGCCATGGACTGAAGGAAGATAGTTCAGAGTATTTTCTAAATGGCGAGAAGGTGGGAAGTGTGGATAAACAGATTTAGGGATCCAAGCATAGAAATCTCTGAAAGCCTGGGAACATTTAAAAGGAAGTGTAACAATGTTGATGTTGATCTCAAAGACTCTAAAGTACAAAATAAGGTTACAGTCATAGAAAAATTTGGTCAGACCCCATTTAGAGTACTACATTCACTTGTGGGTTCTGCACATCAGCAATGATATTTTATGCAGCACATATTGACCAAAATGATACCAGGGCATAAAAGCATTAAAAACAGGAGCACAGGTTGTATACAATATTGTATTCCCTTGAGTACTAAGTCTAAAGAGTAATCTGTTGTGCTGGTCAAGATAATTAAGAATAGATATGGTAGATTGCAAGAAACTATTTCTTCTGGTGGGAAAATCTATAGCAAAGTAAAAATCTTAAAACATCAAAAGATGGCTGTGCCGGCATGGGAGGTAGGGTTCGGACTACTGAGCCCATTCACTGCAGACCAGCTATATCCTTTTCTGTCTCTCCTTTTCTCGTCTTCGCCTTCCTGACATCACAGTGCCTGCAGTGGGGACTCCTGGCTGCAGTAGGCCCGCAGCCTGGACTCTTGGCGGCAATGGCAAAGGGTCAGCTGCACCGGTGGCAGTGTCTGGAGCGGGGAATCCTGGCTTCAGTAAGCCTGGAATTCAGCAGGGAATTTTGGAGGCAGCGACAGGTTGTTGATTGAAGCGGTGTTGGTGTCGAGGTGGGAACTCCTGACTTCGGTAGGCCTGGAGAAGGGACTCTTGGTGATGTGTCAGCAAGAAAGCAACAGCATGAGGAGCCAGGATCTCCTGGAGCATCAGCATCATTATTGCTGTACCTGGAGTGGGGACTTCTTGAGACACTGAAGAAACCCTGGAGCCATGTTTGGGACACTAGGTGGCGAAATGAACTCGATTTAACTATTTTCTTTTTATTCTTTAGCAACTTAAAATGCTGGGTTGTGGTAACAAAACACTTTTCACTGCATTTCCATAGATATATGTGACAATAAAATCATTCATTCATTCATTCAATTAGAGCTAGACGATTCTAGAATGATGTCATGACGTCTCCTCACACCAAGAGTGGAGGAAATCTGCAACTCTCTTCCCCAAAAAGCTGTTGAATTTGGGGTGGGGAGTCAACTATAAATGTCAAAATTTAGATTGACAGACTTTTGTTAGGTAAGGATTTTAGAGAATTAAAATAGAGTTAAGCTACAATTGGTCAGAATCTACTTGAATGGTGGAACTGACTTGAGGAACGTGATAATCATGTTCTTACCATTTAAACCATGCTGTAAAGCTTAACTGAAGTTTTGCCTTTCTCATTATGAGGTCTACACATATTGTTCATACTATTTGCAATCACAGTAAGGGGCAGATCAAAGCTGTGTACATAAATAAGTGCGTAGAAGGGTGAGAAGAACAGAAACCGGTACAGGGAATTTACTTACATATCCTTTATTAGGGTTGAATATTTTCTGATGACGACACACAAACACTTTCTTGATTTTCCCATCGGTCTTTATCGTGTATGTTTTAGGAGCATAGGAGAGTGTGGGATGGTCATCAACCCCAGAAAACTTCATTTGGGCCAAATTGTGAAGGAAGAAGTTGAGTTTGGTCGCCACGCTGCCCAGACTAGATTCAATCAGCCTGTAAATTAGGCAAAGTTTCAATTGAGAATTCACAGCACAGAAACAAACCATTCAGTCTAACTGGTCAATGCTGGTGCTCATTTTCCACATAAGCCTCTTCTAATCAATATAACTGCCTATTCTTTCTCACTCATTTGTTTATTTAGCTTTCCTAAAACAGATCATCTTTTGCCAAATGCATCACGGTCACCAGGCAGCAATTATAGCAATGGACACTGAACTTTTATATGGACTCTACATCCTCTATTGCTTTCATTTATCGATAACTCTCTTAAAAAAAAGTCAGAAGTCACACAACACCAGGTTATAGACCAACAAGTTTATTTGAAATCAAAAGCTTTCGGAGTCCAACACTGACACCTCCACATCATTTCTTAAAATAAATTGTCTTAATCTCTCCCCTCTTCATTCTGGTAATGGCATTTGCTCAATTTCTTTTACTTACTGCATTGTAACAATTGCAATGGTTTTATTTCTTCCATTTAGGCATCTTCTTAATTTGCTCAAATGAAGAGTCATCTATTGTCTCTTCACACATGTAGCAACTCATCCTTGGTATCAGTTTAGAAACTTTCTTACCCATAGTTTTTATACATTCCCTAAAGTCAGTTGCTCAACATTGTTTAGGCCAAACCCTATCAAGACCAGCAGCAGAGAAGTTGGTAATGATCACAGAATATACACTGCTGTAATGTTAGCATCACACAAGTTCCATCCAGTTTCCTGGATGAGTGCAGCTCTGAGAACACTCAGGTGATGCCATGCAGACAAGAAAGTCCAGGACTGTAAGAAACTACAGAAGGTGGTGTGCACAGCCCAGACCATCACAAAAGCAAACCTTCCATCTATGGGCTCCATTTACACGGCTCGTTGCCACGGAAAGGCTGCCAACATCATCAAAGACACTTCGCACCCTGGTAATGATCTCCTACAACCTCTTCCATCGGGCAGAAGATACAGAAGTCTGAACACACGCATCAACAGGTTCAGGAACAGCTTCTTTCCGGCCATTATCAGACTGATGAATGGACTCGCTAAACTCAAATAATGATTCACCTTGCTAACGTTCATCATGCCGAGTGCACGCCCTGTGCAAAGTAATCCATATGCCTCTAAATCTTTTTTGATCTGTACATTCTTTGCTTACTATGATCTGCCTGTACTGCTCATTAAACAAAGCTTTTCACTGTATATCAGTACACGTGACAATAAATACATCAATAAATCAGGTGCGTGGCATACCATTAACCATGAAGAACACCTCTCCAGCACTGATGCAACACGGTTGTACTGGGCTTCAACTACAAAATCCAATGCCACAACTTGTCAACAGGACTTCTTGAAATCTACGAATTCTACCACCTTATGAAGGCCAGAGGCAGGCAGATGGGAACACCACCACCTCAAGCCACACATTATCCTCACCTGCAAATACACTGTCACTCATTCACTGTTGCTGGGTCAAAGGCCTGGACTTTAACAGCTCTGTGGTAGCACCTTCACTACATGGACTGCCAACAGTTCAAGACTGTGGTTCTCCACCACACTCTCAAGGGTAATTTGGAATGGGCAATAAGGTTGGCTTTTCCAGTGATGCCCATACCTTCATAATGAATACGTTTTCAAAAAACACAATTGCCTGTCACTGTTTTGTTATTTTGGAAATCATACCTTGTGAAGTAAGTGGTAGCGTGGGCATCTGTCTCCTGAGGTCGAAGAGCATCATAAACATATCTCAGGTCTTGGATATCGGACAGCTCTGGAATTCCACAGGAAAGCATCTGCGGGAAGAAAAGGGATCCAATTATTTGTTCACCTTCAAGCTATTGAGTTGACTTGAACCAAATGGAGTACTGTCCCAAATAAAGTCAATGCATTAGCAGTGCACGTTAGCTTACCAGCCCCAGAAGATTAAGGAAAAGATCTGTGTGCTTGCGGATGAGATTGTAAGCTTGACAGCACAGGTCAACAAAATCATGGAACCGACTGGAGGGTTTGTCACCTCCGTTAATTACATATGCCATGTCAGAAGTAAAGACAAATGGAGCTCGATCTCTGCAGAAGTAGAAGACGAGAACATTACAATGCAACTGGTGCCCAATTTCCTATCAGGCATTAAATGATGCATTCAGTCTTAGAGGTTGCACTGGAAAACTAATCATTAATGTACCTAACAGTCCAATGTAAGAAACTATTTACGTGCTTACCTCTTAAAGTTGCCTAGCATTTGAGCATGGCCGAGGAATTTGCCGAAATCAATATGGAACATATGGCCACTGGTCTTCAGCATGATATTGTCATTATGTCTGTCACATATGCCCAGGACATAGGTGGCAACACAGCAGCCTGCGCAAGAATAAATGAAATTTTCCACAGCCTAGAATACAGAAGAAAAAAGTGGAAAATACAAATCTGAGTTATCATTGAAAAATCCCTCAGGTAGAACCTACCGCAGTCTTTCTTATTCCACTCCTCGAAGCTTATGATCTGAGACATATCTAGAGCATACGATGGTCCTGTACTTGCAACCAAAGATCACATAGTGGATGCCAATAATCAAACATCTTTCTAGCTCACTAATCAATTGCTTCCTCTATTGCAGCATCTGATGATCTCTTAAAGTATCTCAATAGTTTTCTTTTGAATTTATTTGGGGCAGCTGTATTTGGGGAACAGCCCTGGTGAAAAATGAGGAAGCTGTAGCAGTTTCACAATCAGCAGGATGGCAGGAGGAGCAGAAACACACTGTCTAAGAGAGTATGAACAGACATGGGAGAGCGCAGACAAGCCAGCTTCAGAAGAATGCCAGTTAAGACTCAATAGAAATTCCACAATACTTTTCCAATAACTTTAAATTGGCATTGTCCATAGCCAGATACATCTCTATAATGCTTGCTATCATATGAGCTAGGAAGGGAACATTTGACCCATTGTGCTGGTCATAACTAACTCTATTATGGATGATATTAAGGGTTAAAAATGTTATGGCTGGTTCTCAGTTTAAGGTGAATTGAAAATAGTTTATACAAAAGCAGAAATTGCTGGAAAAGGTCAGCAGGTCTGGCAGCATCTGTGGAGAGAAATCAGAGTTAATGTTTTGGGTCAAGTGACCCTTCCTTAGAAGGGATTTCTGTTTTTGTTGATTTACAGCATCTGCAGTTCTTTCAGTTTTTATTTTGAATATAGTTTATTTTTGGTTTGTTCTTTTACATCTTTGTGTGCTTTCAAACAATGCTTGGTCCACCTTAGAGGCTTTTATCTGAAGAAATCTCTGAGGTTGTTATGGAAAAAATTGCCGAGAGTGGACCTACGCTATAAACAACACCGGTGGGTTTTGGTTTTAAAATCATAAGAAGCCATCAATTTGCTGCGTTTAACTAAAACCCTTTATTTCTTGAGCAAGGAAAAGGGATTGTCAGGGATTACCTACCTGCACCTGGTGGGTGACAGCACGCGACTGCGAGCAAGAACTATACTTTGACAAGGAAGTTGTTTTCCTAAGGGTCATGTACAATGTTCCCCTAATGTATTTCCCCCCACTGTGCAGACCTCCAGTGTCCACGCGCATCATTAACTTCTGCAAGTGGAAGTCAATGTGTCAGCTCACATAGTAGCTGATTAATTGTACCACAGACGAAAGCTGTGACCTCTCCAGCCAATCCAGAGAAAAGAGGAACTACCTTCCAGAGTACAAGTGCCTGTTTTTGGTTTTATGGGATGCAGGCATCTCTGGGTAGGCTAGCATTTATTGCCCATCCATAATTTCCCAGAGGGCAGTTACGAGTCAACCACATTGCTGTGGGTCTAAAAGTCACATGTAGGCCAGACCAGATGAGGATGGCAGATTTTCTTAAGGGTCATTGGTGAACTAGATAAGATTTACAACAATTGACACAGGTTACATGACCGCCATTAGGTTAGCTCGTAATTCCAGATTTTTATGAAATTTAATTCATTCACAGGATGAGGGGATCGCTGGCTAGGCAGCATTTATTGCCCATCCCTAATTGCCCAGAGGGCAGTTGAGAGTCAATCACATTGCTCTGGGTCTGGAGTCACATGTAGGCCAGACCAGCTAAGGATGGCAGTTTCCTTCTTTAAAAGGACATTAGTGAATCATGAAGGTTTTTCCAAAAATCAACAATGGATTCATTAAGGATAAGATAGGGGTGGGATGCTCTTCAGAGGGTCAGTGTGGACTCGATGGGCTGAATGGCCTGCTTCCACACTGTAGGGGTTCAATGATTCAATAAAACCGTACTGAAACAGAAACAAAACAGGACATCATATAATCTGGGTGGAGAGACAGTGCCTCCACACCAAAAAAAAAACTTAACTTGGATAGTCCCACAGTTATGGGATCTCTGGATCTGTCCAGTTTAGGAACAATGGAAGTGGCCAGTGGTTTAATTGATATTGCCAGATTGGAAATGGAGTTCAAGGCATATCTGCAATTCTTAATCCACTCATAATGCAGCAGTGCGTAAGGTGCTTTTCCACAGGAATGGAGTAGAAACTGGAGAGTGATTTACAATTTTTTTAATGATCATCAATATGCAGGATTAAAAGGAATGGGACTCTGTTCATTTCACAATACTGTTGTCATAATCAAGTACTGGCTTTGCAGTTATAGCTTGGCTAGGCAGCTGCAGAGTGGAATTCCCTCTCTGCTTCAATAATGTACCTGCATCGCAGACTTGGAAGAGTATTATCGGTGCGGATTTTTTATTTCCTCTCCACCAACCATCCATTGCTGTGACAGAGTAGCAATGCTAAATAAAGATGGTTCATGTTGGAGCATTGAGGAACTGAGTTGAAAATCACTTGTTTCAAGTACTCTGCAGGCAGTAGAAAAAAGATTTCCATCCGATTTAAATTGAGTTGGATTTAGCTACTTAGAGCTCAAAGGTCTGTACCTAACCCTTATACCACCCAGTTCTCCCCCTTCTGGTTGCTGATGAGGTTGTACAAGCAGTTCACTTCTTTACCCTATCCGGAGAGGGAAGGGGACAGGATCCAAAGAAAGAACATGAAACTGTCTGCTTTTCTTCACCTTTTCATATTCCTCCTCATTTGGGTTATGCTTTTGTAACCATTCTGCCAGCGGATGGTCTTTGAAAGATCCTGTTACCCCATGCTCCACCTGAATTCTCCTCAAGGTCTCTGCATTCGGAATCATCTCTACCATTCCTGTTAAAATATCAAGTGGTGGTTGAGTGGATGGAGTGCCACACACAAGTTACTTTAAACCACTGAAACAACATTTAGTAAGATGATTAATCAGGGACCAGCTAAAATCCAAAAATAACTGATGTAAATCAGTATATTGCAACACTTTCACAGATCATGCTTCAGTTATATTTTTATTCCATGTCAGCTTTCCTGCTTGGCCTGAACTTATATCTATATCCAGTTATTCCTCATCCCAAAAAAATATATGGAGGATGGACTCAGGCTCCATGAGTTATACAGACCAACTGTTTCCAGGTTTAATTATAGTTCTCTGCTGGCTTGGCTGCCTATTTAGAGGGACAGCAAAGTTAGAAAAAACTGAAAAAAAGAAAATAGATTTGCATTTATGTGGCTCCTTTCACAAATGTAGGATGCCCTACATTGTTTTTTCCAAATCGCTTTCCTGCACATGGAGGATTTTTAAAGTATAATCGTTGTTGCAATGTAGTAAACGTGACAAACTAAATTGCATGCAGCAAGGTCCCAGAAATAACAATGAGATAACAACAAAAGTATCTACTTTATTGATGGCTGTTTGATTACCCAGGTCACTAGGGAGAATTCACCTGCTCTTCTCCAAGATACTGACATGGGATCATGGATTTTATTTCCAACTTAGAGACTTAACCACTTAAAAGATGGCACAACCAAGACTCCCTCAGCATACTACCGAGGTGACAGCACCGAAAATGCGCTCAAGTCTGTGGAGTGGGGTTTGAACCCAAAATTTTCTGACTCGGATCACTGTCATAGAGTCATACAGCACAGAAACAGACCCTTCAGTCCAAACAGCCCATGCCGAACACAATCCTAAACTAAACTAGTTCCACCTGCCTGCTCCAGATCCATATCCCTCCAAATCTTTTCTTTTCATGTACTTTTCCAAACATCTTTTAAACATTGTAATTGTATCCACATCCGCTACTTCCTCAGGAAGTTCATTCCACATGCAAACCACCCTGTGTGTAAAAATTTGCCCTACATGTCTTTTTTTAAATCTCTGTCTTGTCACCTTAAAAATGCACTCCTTAGTCTTGAAAAGCCCTGATCCTAGGGAAAAGACAACTACCATCAACCCTATTTATGTCCTTCATTATTTTGTAAACTTCCATAAGGTTGCCTCTCAACCTCCTATGCTCCAATGGAAAAAGACCCAGCCTATCCAGCCTTTCTTTATAACTCAAACCCTCCATACCCGGCAATGTCCTGGTAAAAATATCAATTGAGCCAAGCAATCTTAAACTGGAGGTGAGGGCTACCCATGTGATTGAGGATCTGACTCTGTATCATTATTCAATGGATACTACAGGAATCGTATGGAGACACAGTGAGGAAATGATCATGGTTACCTCAGACATTGTCCACCTTTGGATTAAAATCCATCAACTGCTGACAAACTCTGTCCAGGCGAAGCCTCAGGGCTGATTCCAAGGAGGGTGTGTATGTGCGTGCGCATGCATGAGTGTGTGAAGGGGTGGGTTGCAGAGAAGACTACTGCTCATACTCCAAGCCTTGTTACAAATATCAGTATCTGATTTTAATAAAATAAGCCACAGCACTAATACACTGCCAGCAACATAAGTGAGCAAACAGTGAGACCCACGCCAATCAGTGGGAGAAATCAGAGGGCCCAGGAACTCCAGCAGCATCACAGTTAGTAGTAGCACTGCTGGGATTGAAGAAATCTCCGACGTGAAGACAACGTAGCAACAGGACAGAGCCACGCCAGGGACTCGAGATGGGGAGAGATCAAGGAGACAGGTTTGGGGGGCCAGGTGGGAGTTGTAAAAGTTTGGTGGGAGGGGTGTTGCATTCAGAGGAAGAGGGTAACATCTTGCGAGAAGATGCCACCTATGTGCACATGACACCACCTGGATTGTGTGCCTCCTTTCTTCCCAGATTTTCCAACAAAATAGTTTAAATAATCAAGAAAGAATCAACCTTCCCACTCCTACCTGCTCAGCCACACTAACTACATTATTGTTGAGTGCAGCTTTATAAATAGGGATAAGTTGTCTCTTGTGGTATAGTGCTAGTGGCCCTACCTCTGAGCCAGGAGGCCTGGGTTAAAGTTCCAGCTGTTCCAGAGGTATGACATAACATCTCTGAACAAGTTGATTAGAAAATATCTATGATTGGGTTAATTGACCTGTTAATAAACTCAATCAGCTTTGTGAAAATGCTAGGTGCGCTGCTAATTTGGCAATTAGGAGAGCAGGTGAAATACTGAATTTACATCTGCACAATATTCACTGGAGATCAAAATCAGAATGGATGCAAAACCAGCAGTCCGCCTGAGTCCATCAGTTTCCATATGGACAGGTTAGGTTAAAATCCTCTCCAAAGAACTGGTATTTTTCTTATTTTCCATTCAGTATTTTAGGTATTTCAATTTAGGTTCAGTTTTTTTTAATGTTGCCAGCATCTATAAGAAGCAAATTCAAATTCATTTGAATGAGGAAAGTCACGACAAGTCTGGTAACCTTTCTCAACTTTAACAATTATTTCTGAACACAAGAGCATGTTCTCATTCATACTGCTATTCAAAAAGCAACTATAAAGTTTAAAAGTACCTCGCCCCCATCCTGTTGAGGTACACTTGAAGAATATCATACGCATGTCCAAACCTTCCTGAATCCAGATCTTGTTCATGATGCGTATCATTTGAAGAGTTAACATGTCCTGGCGCAAGTCATCTCCAGTCTAGACAATGGCAATATACAAAGGTTAATTCATGACTACTGATCCCAACTTTCTCCCTCCTTTCCTTTCCTGAAGGCACAAATTCATGATGCAGTACAATTTGATTCATGATGGCAGGTTTATCTGCAATCTAGTCCAAGACCATTTGTTGCTGTTGAGCCCCAACAGGGCTGTAGGTTGTCTCACGATGCAACAAGTAGTGTCTCTACCATTGAGCCCCAAGTTCTGGGTCTGATTCATAACTTAGGACCATATGGCCATATAAGGTGTGTTCATCATATGGACCGCAGTGGTTCAAAAAGGCAGCTCACCAAAACCTTCTAAACAGCACCTAGGGACAGGCAAGAAATGCTAGCCCAGCCAGAGACACCCATGTTTGACAAATGAATTTAAAAAAAGGCCAAATAGAATGATTAATCATTCTGATACATTTATAACAGGAGGTCAGATTAGGCGAATTTCTTGATCAGCCAGAACCATGCGCTAGCTGCAGCACATCAGCCTCCCTGCATTAAAAGACTCCATACACAGGTTGTTGCTACAGATTGTAAGGTGGGAGGAGGAAATCAGGGTGCAACTGGATGATGTTCAACACAGAGCCCAATCCTCACACTCACCTAATACTCCTTTATATTCCTCCTGGTTTTGGGAGAAGGTTATGCAAACTCTTGAACTCAGTATTAATTCATTACTTCAAACAGATCTCCAAAGGAAGAATGTTGGCCAAGCAGTCCAGTTGCAGGGCCTTGAAAAACTAAAATCAATCCTACCTGCAGCACAGATGGACTGTAAAGTGCACTGTAAAACAATACCATAAAATCTTGGATTTTATATTCTGTCCAAGAACATAGGGGCCATTTTCAACACTTTCCAACGGGGATTAGGCTAACTCATATTGGGTTTGTTTGGTATAATTTGAAACTATACATTAAGAGAACTCTTCTACAGTCACGAGTAAAGAGAGGTACATGACTTAGAAGAACCATACAACATAAGGTAGATTAGTCAGCTGCTGACAGTTGCGATTGTATTTCTAGAACCTTGCTATTTCTTTGTAAAAGACTATAACTATATAGAATACAGGACAACGGACAAATAGAAATGGGTCCACAGAAATCCTTCTGTGGCTATGATCAAACGCTACCAAAAAAATCAAAGGCAACCTAAACCCATTTATTGCTATATCCCCGCATAAGACATAGGTTATACCTCAGCTGGAGTATTGTGTATTGTTCTGGGCATCATACTATAGGAAGGATGTGACCACATTGAGAGGTTTACAAGAGTGGTTGCAGGGATGACAAACTTTAATTGAGGATAGATTAGAGGGGCTTGAACTGTTCTCCTTAGAGGGAAGGCTAAGAGGAGATCAGATTGAAGTTTTCAAAATCATGAGGGGGCTGGAGAGAGAAAGAGTAGATAGCAAACCCTTTTTCCAATAGCATAACCAGAACTGGCAGATATCCTTGTGGGCAATTGCAAGTACAAACTCACATCATGTCAATACCTGTTAACAAAGGTAATCAATGCCAAAGATATGATTGCCTCTAGAACAGGGAACTTCTTTTACTACAATTGGTGCACATTCTAAAGTAAACGTACTTTAACAATGACGTTGATGTTTTCCCCCAAAGGGTCTGCATTGGTGAAGGAGATCTTCAGAGGAACAGCATTGGAATTGAAGAAGGAGCAAGCCTGTGGATCCAGAGATCAAAAAAAAATTAGCATTTGACTTATTTTTGCACCCACTTTTCTCCCCAATCTTAAAACTTTGCCAACCACCTCTGTGCTATTCTCCTGGTTTGGGATGACAGAATTTCAAAGTCAAGGCTGTTTCTATTAACGATGACAATGAAATTAAATAACAAGCACCTCCTCAGTGTTGAGGCCAAGCATTGCAGGTCCGGGATGCACAAAGAAACATCCTTGCGTTCAACTTCCTTCCCAATTCACACAACCTGGATATACATTGCATTCCATTCATTATCACTAGGCTAAAATTCTTAATTTTCTAACAGCACTGTGGATGGGCTTACAGCTATTCATAATGGAGGCTTCCCACCACCTTAAAGGCATTTAGGGATGGCCAATAAATACTGGCCTTTCCAATGACAGTCATTGCCCATGACCAAATAAAATAAAACAAATCTGCTTCCAAGGAAGCTTAGGTAGCAAGTTGAAATAGGGTTAAAAATAATCTTAAAATATGAGACATGCAAACTTAAAATACATTTCCAGAATGTAACATACTCTTGGATTGACTCCATTGGCTAAAAGACTTGGGTTTAAAGGCAAGCGACAGTGATCCTGAACATTGAAGAACTGTTGCACTTCCTCCATGCTTTCCCGGAGTACTGTCTGTAACAGAAAGGAAGGTCAACCAATTGTCTTCAGAATTTCTGTTTGTAAAGTCTCGGAAAGTGCACAGCACTTCACACCAGTCAGAACATAAAACAAATCATTACCCCCAAGGAGCTCCTAGTGTCTTTATTACTGATCATGTCAGTGGAAACATTTCATGATATTCCAACAGAGGAGCAGCAGCCAACAGAAGCAAGATGCTTCACTGAGCCAAGGGAACTGTGAATGACACGAGTCTTAATAGAGAACCTGAATACAATTCCCAGAGATTTGCGGTGTTGGCCTCTACATTTCTGGCTAATTAAAACTTGCTTCAGCTGAGATTATTCCCACTGAAGCACCACAGAAGTGAGCAAATTTCAGGACCCATTTCATACATTGGTTTCTGCCAATAGCAACAACTCAGGATAATAAAGAGGCAATACTGCAACACTGGCTAAATTTCGCTAAAGCTGCTGATTTCCTAATGCTTGATCTGGTATGAAGATAGTACCACATAAACCCTTCATGGGCTCACCTGATAGGAAGTTGGTGTCACACAAATCTTTTGTTTACTGACCTGTCGCGAAGATGGAGCAATGTCTCTGACTTTTTGTGCTATTTTAGCCAGGATGTGAGTTAGCTTGGTCTGTTTGTCAAACTCCTCCCTCATGCCCTTTCCAACACAGCATAGCAAGGCCCCTAGAAGATGCTGGTATCGGGCACTGAAGTGAGAGTCATTTAATGCATCCTTCAATAACCTGAGAATCAAGAAGAAAACGGCTTAAAATGACTCAGCAGACAGCTGGCAATACTGCAGTATTTTGCTTTTATTTGAAGTCTGAGGATAACCTAATAGAGCTTTCTGTAAGATTATGATGGGCTTAACAGAACAGATATTTCTACTTGCAGCAAAGACCAGCAACATAAAGAGCACAAACAGAAGACAGTCACTAATGAATCCAAAAGCAAATTCAGATGAACCTCTTTTACGAGCGAAACTTTAGAATGTGCAACTCATCACCATTGACATTGATACATTTAAAGAGAAGGTAGGGAGAAAGGAATGGGAGGGTTGTGAGTTAAAGTACAGTCAGGTATGAGGAGGATCTATGGAGTACTAATGCTTGCATGAGCCTGTTGAGCAGAGTGTGCTGTAAATACTATGTACCCCAAGTAACAATTCTCAATTCATGAAAATTCCTTCCAAGCTCTCATCAAGGATCTTTCTTCACTATGTTGTATCCAATTCCCTCCTCATTCCTACCTAGCCTCATCCCAACCCATTAAGTTATCTGGTTAGGCACCTGCGTCCTTGCTCCATTGGTTGTGGGACTGACTGGACCTCAAAAGAAAGAGAACAAATTATGCGTCACCAAAGTATTTCTTCTGGCCTCGACCAACAAAGGATCAATTTACAGAAGCCATTTTCTCCCCAGTTTAATTGCTCCAGTTAAAGTCCTTCTTTAAATCAGAAAGCGGGGATATGGTCACCTTCACTGGATACCCTAACTGGATGAGAGGCCATTACCTCACTGTGTTAGGAAATGCAGGTGCACAAGTCATCCCATCTAATACTGGCACACCACCTAATTTTCCTTTTTATTCTCCTGTACATTGCATGTCCTGTCTTGTTTGGAGTTTGTGCTGTGATTTACCAAGCATTAGTCACTATTGAGGAGTGCAACTTGTGGGATGACAGACTGTTGGGAAAGAGAAAACAAATGTAATTTATGGCCTATCAGCTCTTGATTCTGACAATAATTTACAGCAGCTCCAACTTTTTAGTATTGTTAATTCTTCAGACCACTCTTCACTAATGTGACCTCTGTGTTTACTCTGAGGGTGTATGCTCCGTAATGTCACTACAGAGATTAACAGCAGAAGGGTGGGAACTGCCTGACAATACATGCAATAGACATGAGAGCAACCGTTGATTGTAAGTCACACACTTATTTGCAATAGTCAGCATTGGAAGTCCAGTTTTCCCAGGGTGGCCAATGTATTTAAGCAACCTACTGTTACTTTGCAACATCATCAATTTTACAGCAACAGGAGCAATCTATACTTACAGATGTAAGTATAAATTTAATAAAACATCCGATGTGCTTCACAGCGGTGTTAGCAAACAAATTTGACACCAAAATACACAAAACGACTGAAAGCTTGGTCAAAGAGGTAGGTTTTAAGAGCATCTTAAAGTTGGAAAAAGAGGTGAAGAGATCCTAGGCACAGCTAGAGCTCAGGGCCTTGGTAGTTGCAGATACAGTGACCAATGATGGAGTGATTAACATCAGGGCCAGAGTTACAGAAGTGCTGATAATGGTATGGGCTGATTGAGATTACAAAGATATGGAGGGGCAATGTCATAGAGATTTGAAAATATGCATGTGGATCCTAAAGTTAAGGCTTAACTTGGAGCCTTTGTAGGACAGTGATCAGCGACCAGGACTTAGTTAGAACACAGGCAGCAGAGTTTTGGATGATCTCAAATTTACCTGCAGACCACTACAGTTGATTATGCTCTCTGTTAGGTAGTTTGCAGATTTAACTCTACTAATATAGTCCAATTTATAAGCAATGGACCACTGAAACAGCATCTCCTTCCAAGATCTTTTCTGAATGTTCAATATCCAATGCTACTACTAACAACAGCAGGGGGTTCTGTTGGTATCTTGGGCAAATAGGAGCAAAGAACAAAGAACAAAGAACAAAGAAAACTACAGCACAGGAACAGGCCCTTCAGCCCACCAAACCTGTGCCGATCCAGATCATCTATCTAAACCTGTCGCCTATTTTTCAAGGATCTGTATCCCTCTGCTCCCTGCCCATTCTTGTATCTGTTTGGATACATCTTAGATGATGCTATCGTGCCCGCCTGTACCACCTCCGCTGGCAACGTGTTCCAGGCACCCACCACCCTCTGCGTAAAGAATTTTCCATGCATATCGCCCTTAAACATTTCCCCTCTCACCTTGAAATCGTGACCCCTAGTAATTGAGTCCCCCACTCTGGGAAAAAGCTTCTTGCTATCCACCCTGTCTATACCTCATGATTTTGTAGACCTCAATCAGGTTCCCCCTCAACCTCCGTCTTTCTAATGTAAATAATCCTAATCTACTCAACCTCTCTTCATAGCTAGCGCCCTCCATACCAGGCAACATCCTGGTGAACCTCCTCTGCACCCTCTCAAAAGCACCCACATCCTTTTGGTAATGTGGCGACCAGAACTGTACGCAGTATTCCAAATGTGGTCCAACCAAAGTCCTATACAACTGTAACATGACCTGCTAACTCTTGTACTCAATACCCCGTCTGATGAATGAAAGCATGCCGTATGCCTTCTTGATCACTCTATCGACCTGCGTTGCCACCTTCAGGGTACAATGGACCTGAACCCCCAGAGCAAGAAATAAAGTAACAAATTATCCACCAGAATGGCTGCCATGTTTACATTCAACGGCAGTCATGGTATATCAAACAGTAAATAATCGGGTGTGACACATTTTGATATATAAATGAAGTGTAAATGAGGTATAATAACATAATAACTAGGAACAGGAGTTGGTAATTCAGCCCCTCAAGCCTGCTCCACCATTTGATAAAATCATGGCTGATCTTATCTCAGCCTCAACTGCACTCGCCTGCCTGCTCTCCATAATCCTTCAAACAATTACTAATTAAAAAATCTGTATCTCCTCCTTATTACTCAATGCCCCAGCACCTGCCGCCACTGGGGTCGTGAATTCCATAGATTCACAGCCTTTTGAGATAAGATGAGGAGAAATTGCTCTGCTTTGAATCTGCTACTCCTGATCCTAAAACTATAAACTCTCATTCTATATTGACTCACGAGGAAATATCCTTTCTGCATATACTTTGTCATTCCCTTTCAACTTCTTATATATCTTATTTGATCTTCTCTCGTTCTTCTAAACCCCAGACAGCATAGGCATAAGCTGCTCACTCTCTCTTCACAAGACAAAACCCCCTTCTCTGGAATCTACCTAATGAACCTCCTCTGAACTGCCTCCAATACAACTGTATCAGTCCCCAAGGGGACCAAAACAGTATGCACCTGGAGTGTTGCAATCTCACCATGCGTTGCGTCCTTAATGATCTCAGAACATCCTGAAGCACTTTAAATCCAATAAAGTGTTTTAAAATTGTAGTCACTGTTGGTAAGTAGAAATTGGCAACTAATTTCAAAACAACAAGCGCCCACAAACAGCAATGAGATAATGAGCAACCTTTCTCGCTAATGCCATTTGAGGGACTAATATTGGCTGGATTACTGGACGCGAAGCTTCCGGTCTCTTTCAGGAAGTGCTGTGGGATCATATACATCCACTTGTGAGAGCAGTTGGAGTGTTGATTTCTCATGTGACACCATAGAAATCTAATAGTCATTTTAAACTTCACAAGGACTCTGAGTAAGCCACATAAACACGAGGCACTTTGTCACTACAATCTGCATGCAGTGGAATAGCACCAAGTAGCACTTTGCAATGGACTCTACACACAGCAATACTTTAGATTACACTGGAGTTTAATTTTATTTAGGGTTGCTTCCTAGGTTCAGACCTGCTTTACAAGCAGGAACTCTGCAATCCAATCATGATATTTACGATAATAGAGTCCCAATTGGCTCCATTTTTATGGCTTTCAATGGAGGCATTGCCAATATTCCCTGGCTATCAACTTGGGTGCAAAAGAAAGCCCAGCAACGATAATTAAATTCTAGAACACTGGCAAAGCTCATGAATTCAGTGCTGTTAAAAATCTGTCATAAATTCCTCTTATTCTAACTTATGGAAAAATAGATTATTTCTACTTTTGGTTGTCCACTCTTTACTGAATACACTTCATGCATGAGATAGACTTGAGTCAGGATGAAACCTGGTGCAACAATTATGACAACCTGTAGTCTTTTAACAAGCTCTGAAATGAAGACTCACAACATGAATCAGGTGAGGGGGTCATTTCTTTAAGTGAAGAATGTTCTTTAGTGTTCATATAAACTAAAAGGTTGGAAGCCTCAAGGTCACTGCTAAAGTTTGAATCTTGATATTTCAAGCAGTTGATAGTAACAGAGCTTGTATTTATCCATCCAATAAAGCAACAGCATTAAGATTAGCCTTAATCAATTTGTGGTTTTCAAGGGAGTAAGGCAGCACATTAGTTAAAATACTGGTAAAATAATTCAGAGGGATGGACTAATGATCCAGAGACAGGAACTCAAATCCTTTCTGAACAGCTGGGAGAATTTAACTTGAGTTATTTAAATAAACCTTTAGTTCAGTAATTATGATCATGAAACGACTGGACGGTTGTGACAATCCATCTGGTGCAATGATATGCTTTAGTGAAATAGACATGCCTGGCTGACATATAACTCAGCCATGTGGTCGACTCTTAACTGAAGTGGTCTAGCAAGCCACTCAGTTGTTGGGGTCAGCCAATAAACATTGGCATTTCCAGCAAATTCCCCATTTCCCGTAAATGAAATTAAAAAAAATCACCAAGAGCACAAAATCCCAATGGAACAAACCAACAATTAATATGAACACAGATAGAATTGAGTTTGCTAAGGTTTCATATTCTAGATTTTCAAGGGTTGGTGGTCCGGAGTGATCTACACATGTCCTTTCGATATGTCATTTTAAAAAGCCAGATCCTGAAATATACTTCCAATACTCAACACATGATCATGTCTTAAGCTTCCAAATTCCCAGAAAGTTCTTGGTATTTGGTGTGCTTCATTTCAGTGTTTGAAAAATGTTTCTATCATCTGCATAGTACCTGATTCTCATTGGTTGAATTTGCAGTCAGTCACATGCGTGTTGTGTTGATGTTCTCTGGTGTTCATTACAGTTCCACTTTATGAGCAGTGTCTTGAACAAAAGCCCGAAAATACATAGCAAGAAGAGGTAGCACTTTCTCATAAAATAGCAGCAACCTTCTGCCTTGCTGCGATACATTAAGACATTTCTTGCGAGAAGGGAACTGGACACAATACTGCAGCAAAGCTGACGTGGCCTGGGCTTGGTCTTAATGTTTCCATCTCATTGTCCAAGCTTCCTGCTGACTTATGAGAGTCCGAACCATTCTGAATATTTACAAGCTGATTTTCTACTCGCTGATAGCTTGGCAAATGGCGGCTCACTGCCAAGTGGCAATCATGGTCATTAACACCTGGCACACAGATGCTAGTACCAGCTGTTCAGGGAAGCCAAAGAGGTGGGACAGGGCAATGGGAGGAGTGGAGGTAAAATGTTCAGGCTGCACCCAGACCAAACAAATAATATAATTCTGAACACGGACAAACGATACGTGACATTTTACTTGATTAATTTAGAGTTGAGGTTACATGGTGATCGCTGGAAATTCAAGGATACGCCAGTTCATTAAACCTGTGGCTACAATATTAACATTTAGCACAACAAAGGAATCCCAGTTTGAACACAGCCGAGTTCCAGACCTGCTCAGAATGCATTCACATGCTCAATCCAATCTGACACACACAGAGCAGAGCTGTAAGAGTTGTAATTTTTCAGTCTCACATACTGGGCAATCTCTTCCTAGTCCTCTAGCGCAGGATTGAAGGGAGGACTTGGAGGAATTTCTAGGTTTTATGCATCAGAAAACTGCCCTGACGCATTCCTGCCTCCAGCCAATCTGCTTGAGTGCCTATTTTTTGACTGATTGGGCATGGCATTGCCCACTGAGACAAGGGGCCTGGGAGAGATTTGCTGGCACTGCTCTGAACGCAACCTGCGAAGCCTCCAACACTATCCTCACGTGAGCTGCACTGTCAGTGGGCCACAGATGCTGGCCATACTGTAGAAACATTTCCCATCCATGAGGGTGATGTCACAGCTATGGTCATTGCTCATTTTCTGAAAATTAGCACTTTGTCAGAGGGCACCTATAGATGGTAGCAGCCCTCCTTTTTTCCTCTGACAGTGCGGCTGTTGAGCTTAGAAGGATGTAGGTTCTCTGATTTTGCACGCAATCTCAGGGAGCCAACTATCATTCACCAGCTGGGCCCAGAGAAGCTTCTTCATCAATTGACTCCAGAATTTTCTTGCGAGTACAGCCCATTGACAGGCAGAGTAAGGTCGAAGCCAAGAAATGATTCAGGCTTGCAATCATAACCAAAAAGAGGAGAAGGTTCCATCTACAGTGAGCAGAGACCAACATATATGAAGCATGTAGCTCACAGGCTGAATCAATCACAGCTACAGTCAAGGAAGGAAGATCAGTTTCTGAAGCCAGAGCTGCCTCACATCAATCATCCAGGGCATTTATTCAAGGGTCTGGCAGTATACTACATAACATTCACAATTACTGTTCACAGAGCGATGCTTTCAAGATTTACACTATGTGAACAGAGATTGGTGCATTTATTCAGATAACCTTTCTCCATCTATCACATTGCTGATGCTGTACAAAGAAAAACATAACTGTAAGTGTTTTGCTTTAAAACAGAACATAGAATAAAGGCTTTAAATTGAATATTTTTACAATTTAATCACAGACAGCATAGTCTTCAAATGTTATATTTGTAATAGCAAATACAAACCGAAAGAACTTGACCCAAAATGTTAAGTTTGATTTGCGTTCACAAATGCTGCCAGGCCTGCTGCATCTTCAAATATTGAAGCAGTTCAAGTTAATATGTACAGCATGACCTGGAAAATATCCAGCTTTGTGTTGAGAAGTAGTAAGTAACATCCACACCATACAAATGCTAGACAATGACAGTTTCCAACAAGAGATATCTGAACATCTCTCTGTGATATACAATGACATTAGCATCAATGAATCCTACATCAATAACTATTCCGTGGATTAGCATCAACCAGATATTAAACTGAACCATTCATTTAAATACTGTGGCTTCAAGAGCAGATCAATTGCCAGGAATTCTGAAGTGAGTGACTCCCCAAAGCTTGTTCAGCATCAACAAAGCAGTGTCACTTTCCTGGATGAATGCAATACCAACAACACCCAAGAAGCTCAACACTTTCAGAATGAAGCAGCCCCACCTAATGAGCATCCCATCCACCAACTTAAACATTCAGTCCCTCCAACATCTACGCACAGTGGTACACTGTTTACCATCTGCAAGATGTACTAAAGTCACACACCAATGCTTCAGTGATACTTCCTTCCAAACCTGTGATCTCTGGCACTTAGAAGGACAAAGGCAGCAGATACTTGGGAACATCACCACCTTAAGTCCCTCCCACCCAGCAAAACAACACGCTGACTTGGAACTATATCACTATTCTTTCACTTTCCTGGAACTCACTGCTTAACAACACTGGGTTTTTTATTTGCAGCCACAGATTGCAATGATTCAAGAAAGCAGGTCAAGGGCACATTGGGATAGGCAGTAAATGCTGGCCAAGCCAATGATGCTCATTTAAAGAATAACAATATGCACCAGCTGTTTTTGGCAGTTATTTGTTTTGTCAGCAACATCAATTTCTTTGCATCTTTTCGGTTTACAGTCATTAGTCCCCCTAAAGTGCCTCAAATAGGTGATCAATTCTTCATGTGCCAGTCCATGAGAATTAACGATCCGTATCTGATGTCTACTCATTAAGACCTTCCTGCTGACTACATTAGAAAGCAGGTAGAACAATGTGAATAAGACACTTACCTATGGGATCAGTCCTTCTCACACCCTGTTATCTGCTGACTTTCCCATGGCCAGGGCAACCCCAGTCGATTATGGTTCAAAACGGAATAATTTTTAATATGAAGGCAGCCAACCTCCTTAAAGGGTTTAAATGTGAAATTTATCTCCTATGAATGGATTGGTTGACTGCTTCCATTAAAAGCAGAAGTGGGCCGTTCAGTAACTGTCTCAAATATTTAGTCTCTCACTTCCAAACAAATCAAATCCAACCACTTTTTACTAAGAGTCTCTGTGTTTGTACTAATGATGTTCAAAGTGGCATAGCTTGACAGAATAGTTTGCTTTATGTACCAGTAAAAATAATGGGCGATTTTCACATCACAGATTGCTCTCCGCAACAGAAACCTCACCAGGGGGCTGTCCAAGTAACACTCAAACTTCAAGGCCTGCAAGATAAAAACAAATGCACAGGTCACATCATATGTAAATCACTCAACCTAGGGCACCATCTCTTTGAAGCTATATCACCCTGAATGTAATGAAGGCCCATCGAGAATCATCGAGATGTACAGCACAGAAATAGACCCTTCGGTCCAACTCGTCCATGCTGACCAGATATCCTAAATAAGTCTAGTCCCATTTGCCAGCAGTTGGTCCATATCCCTCTAAACCCTTCTCATTCATATACCCATCCAGATGCCTTTTAAATGTTGTAATTGTACCAGCCTCCACCACTTCCTCTGGCAGCTCATTCCATACACGCACTACCCTTTGCGTGAAAACGTTGCCCCTTAGGTCCCTTCTAAATCTTTCCCCTCTCACCTCAAATCTATACCCTCTAGTTTTGGACTCCCCCACCCCAGGGGAAAAGACCTTGTCTATTTACCCTAGCCATGCCCCTCATGATTTTATAAACCTCTACAAGGTCACCCTTCAGCCTCCAATATTCCAGGGAAAATAGCTCCAGCCTATTCAGCCTCTCCCTATGGCTCAAGCCCTCCAACCTGGGCAACATCTTTGTAAATCTTTTCTGAAGATTTCCTCATTGTCTTAAAGGTAGACTGAAGAAACATTCAGCTGTTGCACAGCCAACTGTGGTTAGGCATACAAGCCAAAGTCTGCTTACCATATGATTTTATCAGTGTTCTTATTTCAGAGAATGACCGATTTTCTTTGTTTGCTATAATTCTTGCAGTCAGGTCTGATTTCTGTGTCTCACTGTGACAAGGAAGCATTTAAACTAAAGGTACTGACCGAGTTGCAGTGTACTATTATCCAGCCGGATATTTCCATGACAGCATGGTTCTGGTAAACAGTGATGTTAGGTGATGAAGATGAAGAATCACAAAATGAATTTGATTACTAATCAATTAATATTAAAATGTTGCACCGATTCACTTTGGTAGGAGGGTGTAATTACAATGTGCTAAGTTTACAAAGGCTTCCCCCATTTCCAAAGGTGAATACAGGAATTTATAATAGAACTAAAACGAAAGATCAGAAGATCTTATTTTCTGCAAACACTGGTCCAACTGTGCTGCTTCCCTGAAGATTTCACTTGGTCTTGTTCAAGCCCCTCGATCTTACAATGCCACAGAAGGTTGATCAAATATATAAAAGTAAATTTCGGCTGGTGCGATTGCACAGTACTCACTTGTACTAACTGAGGTAGGAAGTCCACTAGCTCTGATGTGGACATCGTTTCCATCCACTGTACTGCAGTGCGACGCAGCTCCTGATCAGGAAATCTGAAGAAAAACAAAAGAGCGAGAACTATGAGCAGGAAAAATTAGCATTGTGTACTGATGGCATTGGCTAAGCCGTCAGTAACTGTTACATAAATGTGCCTTAAATTCTACTGCCATAAATAATTTAAAAAGGGTGATCTCACAAGAGTGCTTAAAATGATTAAAAGTTTTCAAAGACCAACCAGGGGTGATAGCAAGAAATGCACCTTCTCACACAAAGCATTATGCAAATCTGGAAATTTATCCCCCAACACCAAGAGAAAGCTGTTGAGAGCGGAAAGGTCAATTGAAAATATTTAAATAGAGATTCATAGATTCATCTTTTGCCAACGGTATTAAGGAAAATGGAATCAAGGCAGCTAGGTGGATTGAAGATACAGATCAGCCATGAACTACTTAATCAGCAAAACAAGCTCAAGAAGTTGAATGGCTTCATCCTATTCCTATCTTTTATTTCAAAGACTGCTAAAGTAAAAATTTCTCTCTCTCATGATTATTGCTGAACAAGTAGAAGGACTGGTGCTTTATCCTTACATTTCTTCACTCGCCCATTATCTCCTTTATTCTTTTCATAGCATCAATTCCTCATTGGGATACAATTGCTTTTGAATTGCGTAGGAGTTCTCTTGATCCTTGAACAAGGCCCTTTATTCTCTGTGTGGGAGTTGGCAAACTTTAGACAATTCTCAGTCATTACCCAAAGTCCATACAAAACTTCATTTCCATTGGAAGTGGCTGGACAGCAACCAGGAGTGGGAATCCCAAGTTCACTTTTCTCATCGTTAAGGGTTTGCTGTTGTTGTTATTGTCCCTCAGTTTGACAACCAGCTAACAGCACAAATGGAGCGTCAAATCCGACAGTTTATGCAGTTGCACACCTGTGTTAGACTAAAATTGACACTGAACCACAGGAGGAGATATTAGAACAGGTGACGTAAAGGCTTGCTGAAGGACATAGGTTTTAATGACAGTGAAGAAGTGGGGAGATTCAAGGAAGGAATTCCAGAACTCAGGAACCTTTGCAGGCACCAATGATGCAGTGAAGGAAATGGGACACAAACAAAGGCAGAATTGGAGAGGGGTTCTGAGGAAGAGTCACACTGGACCCAAATATTAACTGATTTCTCTCCACAGGTACTGCCAGACCTGCTGAGTTTTTCCAGCAATTTCTGTTTGTGTTCCAGAATTGGAGAAATGGAATAAACTCAAAGGATTCGAAGACCAGACGAGATTCCAGAGATAGGAGGGGCCGAGGTCATGAATGCCCCGCTCATTAGACATCATGATAGTGGGTGTTCTGCTTCAAAAAGGTAAAAATTTGTTTACATCCAGGAGGGACATTTATTGCTGGTTAATTATTTCATTAGCATTCATTGTTGAGGAGTTTATTAATTCACTCTGTTACTCAGAACATCTACTGTGAACGTTAAATGTGAAGTACACGAGCATGTTCATGCAAATAAATGGTTGTTTAAATAAACCATTAATGTATCAGTTTAATGTATTACGTGTGGCTTAATTATCAGTACACTTGCTTTTGAACTGCAAGATACTGGGTTGGATCCACTCCTGCACTTGAGCACAAACATTAAGAATGATACCAAGTGCAATACTGAGGGAGTGCTGCACTGCCAAAGGTGCAGTCTTTCAGGTGTGATATTAAAAAGAGGCCCTAATGCTATCACAGGTGGATGCACCAACATTTAGAACATAAGTGGTGTTATTTCAGGTGCTGTGGCTGCAATTTATTCCTCAATCAACATAACATGAGCAGATTATCTGGTTGTTATCACATTGCTGTTTGTGGGAGCTTCCTGTGCACAACCATCAGCCACAAGTCCTCTTTCACAAAAGGAACCACTCACCAGAAATGCTTTGGATATGAAGTGCTCTGGGATGTCTGATGTCATCTGGATGTCCAACCACCCCAGCAAACTGAGGCATATAACAACAAGCGGGACAGAACACCAACACTTCACCAGTGGCGCACTGACTATGTTACCTAGCAGGGTGATGAAATGTTTGCAACCAAACCCACCGGCTTGGCGAGTATGTTTACAACCTCATGTCTGATGTCACTTACGTTGCTCTACAAATGAAAGCCTTTTTCTACACCACCCCCCCAACTCAACCTCCCCCGTTTAGAAATAACATGGACAGACGATCCAACTATCCACCATCAGATTACTTTTTAAACACAGTCAACTGACCGTGAAGCTGTGGGACATGAGCCATTATCTGTGCAAATTTATGTTGTCGTAATACTTACGTAGCATGGAGAAGACCCAAGGCATCCAGATGGCTCAGACAATTCCATTGCTTGAGGAGGGTGTAGATATCAGGCAGACAGGCCCATTCCCAGCTGGGGGCACTGGCAAGCACCAGAGGCAAGACGCTGCATTCCGTATGACAGTAATATCGCTTCTCCCACAGCAGCTTTTTATCTTCTTCTGTCAGCCTGCTCAGGGTGGAGGAGGGTGAGGTTTCGGGAGGCAGTCAGGTCAAGAGAAACGGAGGGTGGTAATCTGTCAGCACCAGACATCATAGACATAACAACAATATCACTGCACATAACCATCTGGCTGTAGATGTCCTTCGAGTAACCAGAGAATGGAGGCAACACCTGAGACCCTTTTGCTGCATATCCTTAACAAAGGTCAGGCTTGTTGCTGGAAAGTTCAAACACAGGAAACTCTAGGGCACTAATCTGAATCCACGTGGAAGGTTACACCAAAGGGCAGATTACCAACAATGAAAGCAAGGGCTTACATCTGCACTGGGAATATTAATGGACCCAAACCTAATTATCGCAAATTCATACATTGCAGTCAGCATGAAGTGCATTTGAATTGAACAAGCTCCATTTTTCATAAAGACAATTAACTTTTCTTTCCTTCGTTACAAGATTTAAAGAATTTACTCTTGCAACCTGCCTCTCTGTCAATGTTAACAACTTGCCCTGAGGTACGATATGCCAGGGGCCTACTTGTACCACACAACTGCAGCAACTCTTCCTGCCTCAAGTCTGCGTAGTGAGGCAGCACTATAAAGCAGCCTGCATAAGATATCCAAACATTTTTCAGCTGGTGACAGAGATAACAATCAAGAGCACCTACTCTAGCTGTTTATCCTCACTCTGATCTGAACAATGCTGGGAGCAACATTAATGTCCTTGCTTTCACTCTGGCTGAGATAACCCAATTCTGAGGATTAAACCCAAGGCCTCCCACTATTTATCGTTCAGAATGAGTGTTTTTAAATTGGATTTATAACTTACAAATGCTCCTTGGATGTTGCTTAAACTGCAACATGTTCTTATGTAATGCCCTTTGGTACTGCAAAACACTCCACAGTAGCGCCGAACAAAATGTGAGAACAAGCTGTGTATGGACACATTAGGGCAGGGGACCAAAAGCTTGGTCAATGAAGTGAGTTTAAGAAGAATCTCAAAAACAGGACAGAAAGAGAAGCAGCGAGGTTTAGGGGTGGAGTTACAGAGCTTAGGGTCTTGGCAGATGAAGGCACGGGAGGGAATGCTGGAAAGTCAAAGATGTGCAAGAGATCTGAATAAGAAGCGCAGAGCGACATACGGCTGGATATCTCAAAAGCGATATACCAAGAACTAAGAGCCAGAGTAGGCAATTTGGCCCCTCAAGGCTACCATTTAATATGATCATAGCCTCAACTCCACTTTCCTGCCTGCTCTCCATAACCCTTCAACCATCTATTAATTAAAAATCTGTCTCCCTACTCCTTAAATTTACTTAATGACCCAGCATTCACCACACCCTGGGGTACAGAATTCCACAGATTCATGACCCTTTGGGAGAGAGAAGAGAGGAGCACAGAGGAATAGCTTCAATGTTGGAGAACCAATTATTTACAGAAGACAACATTCTTTTGTCTCTTGGCTTTTTTGTGGCTGAAGTTCTCTATCACCCTCTCTTTGATGATTCACATTCATTTGTTTGAACTTAGTAATCACTGAATAATATGAACTATTAATATTTAGCTAACTTTCCCTGAAGGCTTTTCTACTAACTATTGAGAGGGTGTTTCAGTTAATGCAGGAGTAGCACCACATAAAACACAAACCTATGTAGCTTACAGCACCTTGTGGCAGCTGAAACATGAGAAACGCCATGCCTTGTGCCCACTCTCTCAACCAGAATATGAGAGAGAATTAAGGGACTGAGGTGGGGAACAGCTATCTATGAATTCTGAGGAGGGAACTTTTTTTGTTCAATTTTATTTTAAGATAGTATTGTGTTTACGGATACCTAGTACCCAGAGGTTGAGAGTTCAAATCTTGTTATAGCAAGTTGCAAATTTGAATGAATGAAATAAATTCTGCAGGGAAGAAAAGAGCTATGAAACTGCTATATTGGCATTAAAACCTACACCTTAAGGGAACAGAACTTGACAGTCCAGCTCTCTAATCTATGCACAGCTCCAATTGTGGTTAGTGAAACTTAATGCCCTTGGATGTTATCAGGGCAACTTGGAATGGTTAACGAAATGCAGCTCACCCAAAATCACTCACATCCCAAGGACACTTTAAAACAAAACTTATTTTTATTTCCAACTTCAAAAGGATGAACTAAGTCAGGTTGTTTGTGATGCTCTCAGGAGGCTAACAGGGTTTTTGTGTCCTTCAGGATGAAAGGAAAGAGAAGGGTGGCTTCTGGAGTAAAAGCAAAACTCACAAGCACTTATCAATGAAGCTGCGACTCCCTCAGTCCAGTTAGCTGCATGAACATGAAAAGGTCAGGGATTATAAGGAATGCCAAAAGGAATATACAAGGTTTTAACTGACCAATTACATGTGTGCATACACATGCATCAGAAACTGAAGGCACAGATACGGAGATGCTTATGACACTAGGTCTCTTGCTCTGGTCATTATCATCCCTGCTATCAACTCATCTTTTTCCTTTTAAAATCTCACATCTTTGTGCTTTTTGTTGAAAAGGAAACATCTCTCAGGTACACACAATGCTGCAGCACAGACCCAAAGTTGTCTACAACTCTAGGTGGCAACCTATTCCACAAATAAGTCAACAATTCTTCAGTGTCAAGACAATATTCATCCATTTACCCTGCAGATACCAGGAAATAACCTTGAGAACATTGACATACTGTTGCACAAGATTTCTAGTACAGCCAAATTTAATTCGTACAGTCCTCTGCTTTGTCACAGTTGTGTATTTCGCAGTCCTGGTCTTCCCAATAGCATTTGCAAAGATATCTACAGTATAACTGTTTGAAAGTACTGCAAAATGTATTATTTCCAGCAAACCCCACCCCTTCTACTTTCTTCATACCAAGCACATGTACTGGCTGGAACTGAGCTCTAGCAAATACCACTACTTTATGCAAACTTGCCATAAGGTATGTAATACCTGCTTGGGGAACTGTGTGAACAATGTACCAACTGGCACCTATAAACACTTGATGCGACTCTAACCCTGCTAAATGCCCCATGCTTTTCCCTATTATTCCTGTATTGCAACAGTGACTACCCTTCAAAAGTACGGCTGTAAAGTGTTGTAGGATGTTGCGGAAGATGCTATCAAAATGCAAGTCTTTCTATCCTTCACTGAGTTTCACTTTACAATTAGGCTTTTAATGTATGAAAAGAACCAGGTGGAGACCATGGAGAGGAACACAGCTGGTGAGCAGTGAGCTGGACAACTCAAAGGCTCATGTGTCTGGTTCTTCATTGTGAGCCCTTGGCTCCATTTGTCAGCAGTTATTGGATTACACTCTTTCCCTGGAATATTACAGGCTGATCCAATTACAGCCCACAGGGTGACTGCACAGACACCTGATCCTGCCTCCTGTTTTAGTGACTTCCCTTGGCCATTTGATCTCAACAAAATGATGAAGGATTTAGTGCATAATTGCAGACAGTTGCCAACTAAGATTTGTACAGCTACCTGATGGTCAATAACTGCAGAAATCTATTCCACCAATTCACTCTCTGAAGTCATGGCCTGCCACACGCCCCAGGTTTCATGATTCATAGGAATACTGGACAACACCGAAAACAATTTCCATCAGTAACCTGGTGTGTACAGTCATCAGCTCCTCAATCATGCAGAATGTTTAATAAGTACAGCTGCCAATTACCCTCCCACCACTGCTCAATAACATGATTCCAACACAAAAATAGAATGGAGAAGGACATGAATTAGCTAACAATACTATTAACAGAAATATACAGAGGTTACAACACGGAAACAGGCCAGCTGACCTAACTATCCCATGTCAGCCTTTAACCTCAATGCAAAATAAATTCACGAACAATCAGGGCTCCCAAACTTCCTCAGCAAGTGTTTGGGTGTAGGCTGCAACTATAAAAATAAGGAATCTTTATTCCCTTGAAAAAGAATTCGAAAAACTTCAGAATCCAACTTAGGTTGGGACAAAGTACGAAGGGACATCTGATGAAGCATCTCATAGAGAATTAAATTTTCACAAAAATTCCAGGTGTTTACTGACCTGTGCCTTTATAAAATTTTCTACGCCCATCCAAAGTTTGGATGATCTGAATTGATCACAAACAAACAAGGCAAGGACAAGAACAGAAATCATCTGTACTATATCAGGGATAGTAGGAACTGCAGATGCTGGAGAATCTGAGATAACAAGGTGTAGAGCTGGATGAACACAGCAGGCCAAGCAGCATCAGAGGAGCAGGAAGGCTGACGTTTTGGGCCTAGACCCTTCTTCAGAAATGGGGGAGGGGAAGGGGGTTCTGAAATAAATAGGGAGAGAGGGGGAGGCGGATAGAAGATGGATAGAGGAGAAGATAGGTGGAGAGGAGACAGACAGGTCAAAGAGGCGGGGATGGAGCCAGTAAAGGTGAGTATAGGTGGGGAGTTAGGGCGGAGGTAGGTTAGTCCAGGGACGACGGACAGGTCAAGGGGGCGGGATGAGGTTAGTAGGTAGGAGATAGGGGTGCGGCTTGAGGTGGGAGGAGGGGATAGGTGGGAGGAAAGACAGGTTGGGGAGGCGGGGACGAGCTGGGCTGGTTTTGGGATGCGGTAGGGGGAGGGGAGATTTTGAAGCTTGTGAAGTCCACATTGATACCATTGGGCCGCAGGGTTCCCAAGCGGAATATGAGCTGCTGTTCCTGCAACCTTCGGGTGGCATCGTTGTGGCACGGCAGGAGGCCC